AGCGTACCGGACCGCAAACGGCCACAGAAAGTGGGGGGGCAGCTGCATGGATTAAGGAGGTACGGGCAACCTCCATGACTAGGCCAATGCGGCGCTCCGCAACCCCATTCTGTTGTGGTGAGGCCGGAAGCGTGAACGACTGCTCAATGCCGTGCTCAGCACAGTAGGCTGCCAAGAGCTCGGAGGAGGACTCACCACCTCTGTCAGAGTGCAGTGTAGGACAGGAAAGTTCGAGTGGAAACGCTCGCTGAGCTAGAGACAGGCTCTGCGGATCCAAGGGGTCAAGACATCAGAGACCTCATGCTTGGTGCGCAAGGGGAAGACTGTGGTGTAGCGCGAGTAGTCGTCAACAACTATCAGGAAGTACCTCTCCTCACCCTGACCACGGACGCGGGCTGGGCCCCACACGTCCATGTGGAGCGTCTGCTAGGGAGCAGTCGTCGGGGGAAACGAGGAGGAGTGTGGAGCGGCGCGCTGCCGCCCCTCGACACAGGGAAGACAGGTAGGAGCAGGTGAGGGAGGGAGGGGAGGAAGGACCCTGGGAAAGCCAGAGAGAATGTACCGGGAGTGCATGGCATGAAGCCGCTCCACAGACGGGTGACCAAGGCGGTGGTGCCAGAGGACAGTCTCGTGTGCCAGAGAGCAAGACGAGCAGGGGGCCGACAGCTGACCTGACACGGATGCAGATGCAGACGCAGCGACCTGAGGGGACTCCGTGGTCAGTGTGTACAGGTCCGACCCCGGCTGCCGAGTGAAGGTAGCCAAGTGACGGCCCATACGAGCACACGTGTAGTGTGTCACGCGCTCGTAGGCAGGGGTGAACTGGTGAACACCCCCGTCCTAGAGCGCACATCCTACCACGAGGTTCGTAGAGAACGAGGGGAGGTGGAGACCTGACAGTGTGCCCGACTGGACTGTAGGACAGGGAACGATAGTGGAGGAGGTCGCAATGACCGCACCCCCATGAGGGGTTAGCGAGGGAGACAGCAACTGGCCGAGCAAGCGGCTCAAGGGCAGTGCAGTCACGAAAGAAGCAGCGAGAAGCACCTGAGTCCAGTGTGAAGGTGTGTAGTGCTGCAGTCGACTCAGTACCAGGGGGGGCAGACGCACAAGCACCTAGAGCAGCTGCCTCACCAACACCTGGGGTAGCAGACACGCGAGTACCTGGAGCGGCAGACGCACTAGTCCTAATGCCCGGGCCGGGCGGCACACACAGGTACTCAGCACCCTCTCCGCTAGTAGACATCACATACATAGCAGATAGAATAGCATCAAAGTCTTAAACATAGATATCAATCCCCTTCTTCAGGAGATCAATCCAGCGGGGCAGCTCAGTGGCCTGAGGGAACTGAACACGCCAAGCATCGTTGAGACGAGCGAAGCAGCACTCTGTGGCGTGCGGTGCCTCACACGGCTGACCAGTGCGGTCACCAGTGCGAATGACGTACGTGCAGCTAAATCCACCCCCCCGCCCGTGCCGAGAGTACCACTCACGGACCTCCTGGGGCGACGGAGTGTGCTGCTGGCCCTGGTCAATGCCAGCGCCTCCACGACCACCACCGCGGCCGCCACCTCCTCGACCACCCCAACCTCTGCCGCCGCCGCGTCCACCGCCACCCCCACCACCGCCTCCGCCACTGCCACCTCCCTCGCCGCTGCCGCCACCATCCCCACCGCTACCACTAGCCCCACCAGTCCCACCACCACCCCAACCGCCGCCACCACCCCCACCATCGCCTCCCCCACCGTCACCACCTCCTCCCTTGCCCCCTTTGGGCTTGCCGCTGCGGCGCCCGCTCGAAGCAGACGCAGTACCGACCTTCTTAGCACCAAGGAGGTCGACAGCAGCAGTAGAGGCGTCAGAGGGAAGAAGGGGGGAAGGAGACACCCCTCAAAGAACGGGGTACGGAGGTCGCCACGAGAGGCACCTACAGCTACGATGCTAGCCTCAGCTGCAAGCAGTTCCTTCTCGAGGAGGGCAATGGTGAGCTCAGTAGGGCAGCGAGCTAGGAAGTGATCCCTGATAGCACGCATAGTGTCAGGGAGGCGGGTGACTAGGTGGTAGAGAGTGAGCCAGAGTGGGGGGGGTGCGTGGCAAGGAACTCATCAAGCATGGCGGCACGGAAGCGGGCCTCACTAGTACGGAGGTGCGTGATGAGGTCAACGACTGTGTGGAACGAGGCCAAGTCGGGGAACAGGTAGGGGAGGGAGAGACGGCCTAGCGCGGCAGAGGCAGGTGAAGAGTAGCGAGCAACGTCAGCTGTGTACAGTGCCTGTGCAGTCTTGTGCTGGCCAAAGTGCTCGCGTTCGTCTATCGGCAGAGAGTTGCGAATAGCAAAGCGAGCGTGGGCATCACGAGTCTGCCACTATGAGCGGGCAGTGCTGTCAGCAGTAGCAGCAGGGGCAGTGACATGGCCTAGGGCGTGGTCGTACAGTGAGATGTCGTCCTTGGCTGTGAGCTGTAGATAGAGGTGCAGGTCATCTAGCCAGGTGTCAAACTTCACTGGGCGGCCCTCAGCATCGAGAGCTAGCACAGGAGGGCTAGCCATAGGAGCAGTAGGAGTAGCAGTAGGAGTAGGAGGAAGAAGCAGGTAGGGCGGCTCAGTTCAGGTAGGGCGGCGCGGCTCGGGTGGGGCGGCGCGGTTCGGTTCGGGTAGCGCGGCTCGGCTCGGGTCGTGCGGCTCGGTTCGATCCTGGGCGGCTCAGTTTGGTCCTGGGCTGTGGCGGTCACGGGCCGTTTGGGGCCTCTAGGGGCGGTGAGCGCGGGGCCGTAAAGGGGCCTCTAGGGGCCGACGGGGCCGTAAAGGGGCCTCTAGGGGCCGACGGGGCCGTTCGGGGCCTCTAGGGAGGTGAGCGCGGGGCCGTAAGGGGCCTCTAGGGAGGTGAGCGCGGGCCCGACGGGGCCGTTCGGGGCCTCTAGGGAGGTGAGCACGGGGCCGACGGGGCCGTAAGGGGCCTCTAGGGAGGTGAGCGCGGGGCCGACGGGGCCGTTGGTGGCGATCGCGGGGCCAACAGGGGCCGATAAGGGCGAGCGCGTGGGCCGTTCGGGGCCTTTAGGGGCGAGCGCGGAGTCGTAAAGGAGCGAGCGCGGGGCCATAAGGGGCGGGCGCGTGGGCCGACGGGGCCTTAAGGGGCGGCTCGCAGGTCGCTAAAGGGCGGGTCGCGGGGCCTTAGAGGGCCGTAAAAACCGAGGCGCCCTAGGGCGCAGGTAGGTAGGTAGGTAGTGGTGGGTAATGGTGGGCCCTAAAAAAAACGGTCCTAAGAAGGACCTGCTCTATACCATGTTGAAATGAACGAACGGGAATGAATGAACTAGTAGTGAAAACAGTACAAGTACCTAACCCTAGAATTGTGTACCCCCTTTAGGCTAACCGACTGTAGTCTAAACAAGCACAACAACATATATAATGTTTAACACTTCCACCTCTCCCCCGCAACCTTCTCTCGTCTCATATGTCCGCCCACCCTCACCTCGCGCCACACGGATGGATGTCGCCCATCCATTCATCCACGTCATCGCCTGCGGCTCTCCACGCCACGTGGACGCTTTGCTCCGAGGCGCCTCGTAGACGCGCGTCGGTTGGCGTTTACCTTCCCCCCATCCCCCTCCGCCATCCTCCCACAAATTCCCCCACGCCATTCTTGAAAACACCGCTAAAAGACAAGTGGATGCCGACCAGTATCAGGATGCAGACAACGCATGCTGCCCCCATGATGGCGAGCGCGAGCGCGGTGGGGTGCATGCGCGGCGCACCGAGGATGGCGGCGAAAAGCGACCCGCGGGAGGCGGGCTTGCGCCCATGCGCGGAGATGTGCGCGGCCGCGGATGAGGGCGCTGGTTGCAGCGACGCGGAGGGGGACTGGTGTTGGCGCGGCCGACGCTTTGCGGTGCTGATGGGTGCGGCGCGGTGCACGCGGATGTGAAGCGGTGAGGATGACATGGCGGCGGGGACGGAGTCTAGTGTGCTCGGCAACGGGAAACCCGCGAGCTGGCCGCGTGGAACCCGTCCACGTGGAACCCGTCTTGGCACCCGCTGCAGTGCGCGGCTCGCTTGAGACGAGCGAGGAGTCGAGCGATGCGAGGAAACGACGAGCGAGGCGCGCACTTCACGGGGAGTCGACACCGCGGCTTGTGAGTGAGCGATACAAGTCAAGCAAAAGCGGAACGAATGAAAGAGTGGATGCGACAAGTCGCATCGGGTACAAGGAGTATGTAAGCCAAAACGCGGCGAGCGTGGAGTTGACTCGACCGTCACCTCGTGAAGCCCGGCGACGATGCGAGAAACGGCAGCGCTGCAGTGGGCGGGATCGTAATCGCGAATGGCAGAGCTGGTACTGGGATAGGTGAGGGAGGGAGGAGTGATAAGATAAGAGTAGCTGCCGATGGCGAAATTCTGGAATATATTTTGCCAGCAGCTCTAGAACGTGCGCATTGACGCACCACACAGGAATCCATCCGTTACAACTTCAGCTGGTTGCGTCGCGACGCTGTGTTGGGCCAAACTTTCGTTGTTACCACTCTCGGAGTCGCTGCGAAAACACAGGCTGCCTCCTCGGCGACGGTTGCACGACAACCCTCAGCCACTGTCTGCCTTGCTGTGGCGAACATTTCCACTTGCTAATCAGTGCGCGTGTTGGCGAACACGACGTCAGATCTGATGAACCTCGTCTCGTCGTTCACTCGTGCCACCCTTAGCTCGTTACAACACTTCGCGCCCGCCCCCCCCGGTGACCGCAACTCCGGTCGACAATGTTACATTTAGAAGCTGGACTGCCATGTTACTATCGATTTTAGGCATGGACGACGCTCGACGATCGATCGTAAGAATGAACATGACGTGTCGATCCACATAAGCTTGCCTACCACGTGTCGGTCGCTGCGTGTCGTCGAGATCGACTTGTCGTGTCCGACTGCTCACCGCCGCGCTTACCCGTCCTTTCGGAGACGCACTTCTGCTGATGCGCCTCCCTTCGTCGCTCGCAATTCGCCATACCCGCTAATGGCATCCGCCTTTAACGCGTACAAGCACGACAAGGCCCTGCAGGCGGCACACCAGAAGCAGCTCAAGGCGCTCCTCCGCGAGCCGGGCAACGAGTCGTGCGCCGACTGCGGCGGCCGCTTCCCACGCTTCGCGTCGGTGTCGCTGGGCGTGTTTCTGTGCAACCGGTGCTACGGCATCCACCGCGGCATCGGCGTGCACGTGACGCGCACCAAGTGCGTCGAGCTCGACGCGTGGAGCCCCCGCGAGGTCGCCGCCATGCGCGCCATGGGCAACCGCCGCGCCGCCGCCATCTGGCACGGTGAGACCGGGGAGGGTGGGAGGTGGGAGGGAGTAAAGATTGAATCGGGACGGGGCTCACTCTGCTGCTGTTTCGTAGCATTCACTTCCGCCCCACTCGTCCGCTCTCCTCTCTCTTTCTCCTCTTCTCTCGCCTCCTGCGCTTCCCATCCCCCTGAAACGTTGCTTTGCCAGATCTCTTCATGCTACCTTTTCCCCCTGTGTTCTCTTCCCCCCCTCTCTTCCTTTCCCCCTCCCTCCCGCCCGTCTCTTCTCCCCCTCGCTCCTCTTTCTCTTGTACCCTTGTCCGCAATCTCCACCATTTCTTGCCCATATCCGCTGCTCTGTGGTCCCTCCCTCCACTTCCACCCCTTGTATCCCTCTCCGCTCCCCTTCTCTCCACTTTCTCTCACACCACACGTGCTGAATCCACCCGTCACCCTGCCAACCAGGGTAAGAGCCCCCACATGAGTGTCAATAAATGCCTTGTGGTGCGCCGCACAAGTCCGCTCGCTGCTGCTGCCACTCCTCCCTTGTTGCATGCTCCCTGCCACCTGGAGCGACAGCGCACACATCACAGGAGCGCCAGTGGATTCGTTGGGGGCTCCTCCACAGTGCTCTCGATACTTCCCCTCTACCCCTCCCCCACCACACGCACCGTGCCAGTGGGAGTGAGGGCGGCCACATGGGTGTCACAGCTGCCGTTGAGGATCTTCTTATGCCCATACGCTACTCCTACCCCCCCCCCCCCTCGACGCAGGCTCGCTGCCAGCGGGAGTGAGGGCGCCCACGTCAGCCTTATCAGATGCGGAGGTGGAGCGGTGGATTCGAGACAAGTACGAGCGTCGCCTCTATTACAACCCCGCTGCTGCTGCTGCTGCTGCTGCCGCTGCCGCTGCTGCCACTTCTGCCACTCCTGCTCCCTCTCCCCCTGCTGCTTCGCCCGCCACTGCCTCCCCTCCCTCCACCACCCCGTCCACTCCGTGCCCCTGCCTGTCCCCCACAGCCAACCTCAACGCCCCCACCCACTGTCGTAGTGCCACCCCGTGCTGTGAGTGCAAGCAGCACAGGCGGCACGGCGCATGCACGGCAGGGCGTGGATGCGCTCAGCTCAGCCCGCCTGAGGCATCCACCCCCCGCCACCACAGCAGGCTGTGCAGCCCATCACGAGCAGCACACCCTAACAGCTGCTGGGGTCCCTGCAGGGCAGACGGGCCATGCTGCTGGTGTTGGCTCTGGAAGCAGTGGTATCAGCAATGTTCTTTCAGTATCAGGCGCCGGCAGCAGCAGCATGGATCTTGGCCCAAGCAAGCAGGCAGCTGCTCCTCCAGATCTGATTGATTTCTCTCAGTGGTAATGTCAGGGCTGTTGGTCTACATGAGCATGACCGATCCGATGTGTTGTAAGGTTCTTGTAAGAAAGCGTTGTTCTCACTACTACGACCAATGTTTATTTTGTAACAACCGACCACCATAATGGCAGTCTCTTTGTGCTTCCCGATCAGGTCTTGTTACGAGCAGGATTGAAAGGACCTACTGTAAGATTGTGTAGGGGTAATCCACATCAATCATTTGAAACACAAAGACTTGTATATACCTGGGTGGATCCCTTCCTATGGGGTTCATGGGCTCGCTTCTGAGTTGTTCACAAATGTAAGGAAATTCCCTTTTCCTTACTTCGGATCCCTGCTCAACGCGTACATCACTGTAGCACCTCAGTCCGCACCGTTACCACTCGCGACCATCGCATCATTCATCATCCCGCCATTTTCGCACATCGCATCCCGACCTCACGGCTCGGCTGGTAACCCGCGCTCCGGGCCTACGCTTCGACACTTTCCCAACCTCAGTCCCAGGCTCGTCGCGCGACCATTACCGTTACCACAGTAGTTTCGCTATATATTGTTCGCTCATGCCTTCGCTCATTGTACTCTTGCTTCGATAGTGCAATTCTCGTTCGTTCACTCAATTGCACTCGTAACACTTGGTATTCAGAGCTTACGATCTCATCTCGGACCGCATCCACACCTTCGCTTCCCACTATCTCAATTTTTGGGGGGGGTAGACGTCTCTCAGCGATACAGCACCGCCACTCGTAGTGCTCTCTTGCAAGCACGCATGGCCACGACTGAGGCTCTCGCTGAGCTTGCCCGACACCCCCCCCCATGGCCGATTTCACGCTCGCCACGATGACGCAGGAGCAACTCGATCGTCTCGTGCGTCAATTGGAGGACTCGGCGCTCGAAATCGCGACTCTCACGGCGGAACGTGACTCCGCCCGTCAACAGTCAACGGTGAACGTACCGACGACATCACACGCACCAACGAATGCATCTGCACATTCGGAGGAGCCAATTGTCATCTTGTCCGGCACACCAACACAACACGAGAGCACGGGACAACGCTCAGGCGCAGCCAGTGAAGGCGCCGCCCAGCCGATGCCCGGCATGGGAGGGAACAGGAGCGCACCAAGCCCACGGGAACCTCGAGAAGCCCGTCGGCACGTGGAGTTTGCGGCGAAAAGTGGCGAAAACGCCATAATGGCCCCAATGCCACTCAAGCCGCAACGCCCGCCCTGCTTCGACCCAAGCCAACGCGGCGGTCCGACAGTTCAATCGTGGGTCTTCACGATGAATGTGTTTTTCGACGCCAACTACGTCGAGTCAGACGCCACCAAGATCCGGTATGCGGTTTCACTACTCAGGGGCCCCGCCATGGACTGGTGGCGATTCATCGTGACGTCGCCACGCGCCTACGAGCCACCGTCGCACGAGGAAGGGCCCTCGGGTCCAGCTGTTACCTGGAGTTCGTTCTGCGAAACCGCCCAATACAGCACGTGGGATGCGTGGTGCGCAGGGCTTCGGGCGCGCTTTGAGCCGATCGCGGCTTCGATTTCGACGCGTCAGAAACTGCGCACTTGGCGCCAGCTCGGGTCAGTTCAAGACTATACCAGCGGCTTTCTCGCACTTTGCGAACAGGTCGGCTACATGCACGAGACGGAGCGGGTGGACCGTTACGTCGGAGGGCTGAAGCCGGACATCTCGCAAGAGATAATGCTACGCGGGCTCTCGAACTTCAACGAGATTCTCGCGCTCGCCAAGAAAATCGACATCCTACGCCGACCGAGACCGGGGTCCTATTACGGACATCGTCCTCGGGGACCGATCGAGCACGCCACTGTACATGCCGTCGCAACGAATGCAGCTGCCACACCGTTTAGAGGGCGCTGCTTTGCTTGCAACCGGCCGGGCCATCGCAAGAGCGATTGCCCAGAGGAGCTACAGTAAGGCGTCGAGGAGCAGAGCAGGGGAGTCAATCTCAGAGGCAGGGAAACGCCAGCAGTCAGTAGAAGTTGGGCCAACTACTGACGAGACTGCCTGCTCGCCCAACCACACCGACCCTCACCGAGTCACAGTACCGATGTCAGAACATATAGCTTACATGTTTGTGTAGGCTGTAGTGGGGTATCCCATAGGGGGTACAACCCAATTAGGGTTTCCTATTTGTACCCACTTTGTTCATAGTCATTCATTCCAGTTCTTCAAATTATCACATGGTATAGAGCGGGTTCCCTGTGGAACTCTGCCTAGGGCCCACCGAAGCGCGCCCCGAGGCGCGCTCACTTTTTTTCCGCTTTCGAGCGACCCTTCGTGTCGCCCCTCCCTCACGCGACCCGGCCGCCCGCTCAGTCGCGGCCCCCAGCCGCCTACTACGAACGCGGCCCCGGCCGCCTACTCGAGCGGCCCCGCCGCCTGCTACGACTGCGGCCCCGCCGCCTCCTCGCACGGCCCCGCCGCCCGCTACCGCAGCGGCCCCGGCCGCCTACTCGCGCGGCCTCGCCGCCCGCTACTTCAGCGGCCCCACCCGCCTGCTACGACCGCGGCCTCGGCCGCCAACTCGCGCGGCCCCGCCGCCTGCTACGACTGCGGCCCCGCCGCCTACTCGCGCGGCCCCGCCGCCTGCTACGACTGCGGCCCCGCTGCCCGCTACCGCAGCGGCCCCGGCCGCCTGCTCGCGCGGCCTCGCCGCCCACTCCTTCTGCGGCTCCGCCGCCTGCTACGCCAGCGGCCTCGGCCGCCTGCTCGCACGGCCTCGCCGCCTGCTACACCTGCGGCCCCGCCGCCCGCTACCGCAGCGGCCCCGGCCGCCTGCTCGCGCGGCCCCGCCGCCCGCTGCTTCTGCGGCCCCAGCCGCCTGCTCGACCGCGGCCCCGCCGCCCGCGTCTACCGCGGCCTCAGCCGCCTGCACAACCGCGGCCCCGGCCGCCTGCTTGCACGGCCCCGCCGCCCGCTTCTACTGCGGCCCTCAGCCGCCTGCTTGACCGCGGCCCCAGCCGCCACCTCGTCGCGGCATCCCCGCCCTGCACCCGAGCCGCCCTGCCGCTGCGCGCCCCGGAAGCCGAGTCGCCCCGCACCCGAGCCGCCTGTCGCCGAGCCGCCCGGGAGCCGAGTCGCCCTGCACCCGAGCCGCCTGTCGCCGAGCCGCCCGGGAGCCGAGCCGCCCTGCACCCGAGCCGCCCTGCCGCCGAGCCGCTCGGGAGCCGAGCCGCTGTACACCCGAGCCGCCCGGTCGCAGTTCTGGTTTTCTGTCGAGCTGCACGGCCTGCCCTGCCTGGTGAGCACTGTCCCACTGTCCCTGCGTGCTCGTCCCCTACTGCTTGCACTGCTTCGCTGTCGCCGCTATGGCCACCCCTAGTGTCCTAGCTTTTGACGCTGAGGGTCGCGCCATCGATTTTGAGGTCTGGCTAGATGACCTGCAGCTGTTCTTACAGTGCGACAGAGCTGACGGCCTTTCTCTCTTTGACCTCACCTCTGGCGCCTCTCCTGCTCCTCCTGCTGATGCTGATCCCACTGTCCGCTCTCAGTGGGCCACCCGCGATGCTGCTGCACGTCTTGCTGTGCGTCGCCACCTCCCTACCTCTGAGCGCGCGCACTTTAGTCAGTACAAGAGTGCTCAGACCTTGTACGACGCTGTAGTTGCGCGCTACTCCTCCCCTGCCACTGCTGCACTGAGCCGTCTCATGCTTCCCTACCTCTTTCCTGACCTCTCTGCCTTTCCCACTGTCGCTGACCTCATCACGCACCTCCGCACTAGTGACACTCGCTACCGCGCCGCCCTTCCTGCTGAGTTCTGCGCTAAGAACCCCCCCCCCCATGTACATCACTCTCTACTACGTAGTCGCGCGCCTCCCTGACTCCCTTCGTGTAGTCAGGGACCACTTTCTCGCAGTCTGTCCCACCACCCTCACTGTCGACCTCCTCGAGAAGGCCCTCCTCTCAGCTGAGAAGAGCATAGTTGCTGTAGGGGCTTCTCGTGGTGACCCTCGCACCCCCATCTTTGAGGGGTGCTCTCCTTCCCCCTTGCTGCCCTCTGTTGCCTCTGCTGCTGCTGCCGACCTGCTTGGTCTTGAGTCGGTCGGCGCGGCGTCTGCCCCTAGTGGGAGACGTCGCTCCAGCAAGGGCAAGGGGGGCAAGGGCGCGGGTAGAGCTGGGGGGGGCAGTGGGGGTGGCGGCGGTGGCGGCGGTGAGAGTGGGGGTGGCGGCGGGAGTAGTGGTAGTGGTGGTGGTGGTGGTGGCAGCAGCGGCGGAGACGGTAGTGGTGGTGGAGGTGGCAGCGGCGGAGGTGGAGGCGGAGGAGGTGGAGGCGGTGGAGGCGGTGGAGGCGGCGGCGGAGGAGCAGGTGGTGGTGGAGGGAGCGGAGCTGGTCGGGGTGGTACCCAGCAGCGTAGTGGCGGTGGTGGTGGCCAGCGCTTGCAGCGGCAGCAGCAGCAGCGCTCGCGTGACAGCCCTCCGCCCCAGCAGCTTCGTGAGTGGTACGCTGGGCGCCAGAGGGGTGGGGGTACTGGTCCCTGCACCTACGTTCTTCGTTCCGGCGACCGCGCGGGTGAGCAGTGTGGGGGTGCCCACGCCACCGCACGGTGCTTTGGCCGCCTGACGGACGCTTGGCGTCAGCAGTTCCCCGGGGCTAGTGAGATCCCTCATTGGGATGAGCTCCTTAGGGCTGGTGTAGCGATCTTTGATCTTGATTTTGATGCTATCCTTGCTGCTATGTATGCTGTGACTTATACTGAGGAGAATGAGGGTTACCGGTGTTTCCAGCCCGACCCGGGCATTGGTACTGCTGCACTAGGTGCTTGTGAGGCTGCTGCTCTAGGTGCCAGTGCGTCTGCGCTCTCAGGTACTGGTGAGGCTGCGCTTTCAGGTACTGCGTCGTCCTCGTCCTCCCTCACGTTCACACTTGACTCCGGAGCTTCTCGCTCCTTCTTTCGCGACCGCACTACCCTTACGCCGCTTGGCTGGCCGGTTGCGGTCTCCCTGGCTGACCCCTCTGGGGGTCCTGTCCTCTCTCACTTCTCCAC